GTATAAACGACCTGGCAAGTTGAGCTAGCAATCCAGGTGGGGGACAGGTGCTAGAGTCACTTAATTATCGAAGGAAACCTCTCAAATTCACAGATGAATGGGGAAAAACCTTCCTCTTCTTCTTCTTCTTCCTCTTCTTCTTTTTCTTTCCCTTTTCTTCTTCTTCTTCTTCTTCTTCTTCTTCTTCTTCTTCTTCTTCTTCTTCTTCTTCTTCTTCTTCTTCTTCTTCTCTTCTTCTTCTAAGACTCAGATAAACAGGATACAGAGGCTTATTAATTTTGCAGTTCGAGTTGCCCTGGGAAGAATAAGAAAATATGACCACATCACACCAGCTCTCAATAAACTTGGGTGGCTACGTGCAGAAAACAAGGTCGCTTATGCTATTTATGTTTTTGTATACAAAATTTTGGACCATCATTATCCTAGCTGGCTATTTGATTTAAAAACAGTCAGGGATATAAGGGGAACCAACACAAGACAGAGCAGTGAGCTCTTTATTCACAGAACAAACACAGAAGCAGGTTCAAAGATGATCACTATTAAAAGGGCCAACACTCTGGAACAATATTCCAGAGCATCTTAAAAATGCATCCTCCTTCACAGCTTTCAAAGGCAAACTATATAGTTTTCTTTTGGACAAATAGTTGCTGCTCACACATAAACTAAACTTAATGATTTAATGCAATTTCCCTTAACACTAACCTCTCTATATGCAAAGTGATATCGACTTCTCTGTTCTCTAAGTTAAGAACTAATTATTCTCATTGAAAGGAAAACAAATATGGTAATGATGCCGATAATAACGATACTGTAACTAGTGTTATTATTACTATATTATTAACATTATTGTTAACATTTTTATTACATCATTATTATTTTCTATGAAAGCTACATTTAATTTAACTATTCATGTTTGACTTGCAGCATTCTCAATTCCCTAAGAGGCAATGAGATAAGCAAAGGCTTTTTAAACTGAATTAAACTTTTACAAATATAATTTTTTTTTTATTTTTGAATGTTGCTAAACAGGGTATTAGTGAATAAAAAAATATTCAATTTCGTTTCTGCAAATCTAATGTACTCAAGTAACCTCTTTAGATCACATATGCAAGAGATAGACATCTGAAGTAGATTGCTATATGGAATAATATTTTCTTATAATACGCAAACTATTTAAAGATAGTTAGGAAAACAGACAGATAAATGGATACACACCCAAATGCACACAGATGTACACACACACACACACACACACATGTATATGTATATATATATATATATATATATATATATATATATATATATATATATATATATATATAATATATATATATATATATATATATATATATATATATATATATATATATATATATATATATATATATATATATATATATATATATATATATATATATATATATATATATATATAGAGAGAGAGAGAGAGAGAGAGAGAGAGAGAGAGAGAGAGAGAGAGAGAGAGAGATTAAATTTTTAGTATTAAGACAAGTGCGTTAAATATGCACATAAGCCTCCATAGGGTATTCCTATTAAAGTCATACCTCACTCTCTCACTACATACGTAAATAAAAGGAATAACTCTTGTGGTTACGCAACACAATCTAAATCCTGACTATTAAGATTACGCAAAAGCGGTAATTGCTGGCGTAGCTAGGGCTTTGATGACCCCCGTGGGAGCATTAAAGGCCGTCGCTACAATACCATTCTACTCTTATTTTTTTTTTTACTCTTCTTTTTAATATTCCTTTTTTTTTATTCTTATATTATATTACTGAGATAGCCATCTTTATGATAATGGTTCTTGTAGTAGTGGTAGTTGACGTTGTTGTACTGGATGTCTTATGGATATTTTTCTTCTACAGACACTGTGTTTATTCTGCTTGAATACAATTGTCATTTTGCTTATTGTGAGTTACGCGCAGCAGCGTGAGGACAGTGATATCAGTTGCATCTCTCAAACGTCTTATGGCCAATGTGGGAAAATCTCTAAATTACTCTGGAGTTGCTTCGTTTTATGACACACGAGTTAAAAGCCAGTAAGAATTCTGTTGCTATGATGGTTGTTGTTGTTGTTGCTCTACATAATGGCAATGGGAGTCACGCTGTAAATATAAGTGTTATTACTTCAAAGGCTGTCTACTCTCACTGAACTGCTCTGCGCACTATCGCAACAAGACTTACGTCACCCTCTTAGTGTTGATAATAATTCTAATAAGGCCTTTTTTTTTCTTTTGCTAAATGTTTATTGTAGTGAATCTGCCTGATAAGTTAACATTTTTTTTTTATTTTTAATTAACGTCATAAAAGTAGTTAAATCTTTTTGACTGACCCTTGCATACGTCATCAGCTGGTGTAATAAATAGACAAGCTTATAAGTAGGCAAAGTAAGAATGGTCAGTCGGTGCAGATGCATGGCCAGTGTATTTCCTATAATTTGTCGAGATTCTTAGTTTTTTATTTTTATGAGTGTGACACCGGGACAGGCAAAAACTGCCCTCATCAATAAAGTCCCGGGCACAAGAAAATACCAAGACGAAGGAAAAGAAAA